CAAAGGAAGCCCTACTCACTGTCTTCTCGTGGCAGAGGCGTTTTCCCACCAAAGTGAGAGGACGAAAAAATCAACATCCGGGGCTGACTGGATTGGTGGACTACTGGTAATTCATCGAAGGGAGTTGGCAAAACCCCTGATTCCAAACCAACCAAGAAGAGGCGTACGAATCACACACACCCCCGGTTTTGGTGGCCGTGGTCACTGGCTTGATTGGGCATTGAGGTGTATTGGGCACCTTGGATGTTTGACCCCGTCCAAAGGGCGAATAATCCGATGGACTGGACACCGGTCCCCGATAGATAGCGGTTTTCGCATACCGCCCAGCTGCCTTGCTGGTCAGGCTTTGGCTAGCCGAAGGCTCCGGTTGTGAATTCCTCAACCTGGCAGTATTCCGCCCACATGCAAATCATGGAACTTCTTTTTGACAAAGATTATTCTACTGCGATTTGTTTGGCACACGGTCTGGATTCAGATGTGTGTGAAAAAATATATATACTCCGATGATCAGCCTTCGTGAATCGCAGTTCGCCCATCCACTGCATTTTAAAAATTACACATCCTAACTTGTTTTTTTCACCATGGGAAGCATATTGAAGTGCAGGGTGAACGGGTACAAACAGCTTACTCTACTTGTAAACATTGACATCGTGGAGGGCTTTGATAAAACATGTACACGGGGTAATCTGAAAATCACGTCATTTATTTTCAACCGATGCGTCCTATTTCAGGAAACTCACATTCGAGCTGATGGTGTACTGAGGGAAAGCCTGGAGAAGATGGCCGATCAGTTAGTTTCGGACATTGACAAGTTGCGCACATCAACTGAAGAGACTTGGAAAACATTGGAGGAAGTGAGTGCGCACGTGATACTCTGGTGACACTGATTTGTTTGTTTTCAACGCGCTTCTGTGCGTTCTCACCCCACTGTGACCCGACTGAACCAGTTTGACCGGGCTGTTGTTACAGTATTGCCTGGGGTTTTAATTGCTCAAACCTATCTCCTTTGACCGCCACCCCCGGCCCTACCTGCCTTCACCCTAGGTCACGTGCTGTTGCACTACCATTGATTCTTGTCCAAAGTGCAGAAATCAAACAACCGTAGTCTTCAGTTTGTGTTGTTGTTGTTGTTGTTGTTGCCACTTGAAACGCAATAATTATTGTTAATCAATCAATCAATCAATCAATCCGTGCACTCTTGCAATCATCAATTTACAACAGAGATTAGTTACTACCTAGTTTTCATCGCGCATCAACTTCACCAGTGTACCAAAGACAATAGCGTTAATTATGACTTGCCAAATGGGACGGCGCTGTATATTCCGGAGCCCATCCATCTCTGTGTGTACTGTTATATTCATTCATACTGGCGAACGTAGAAAAATAGCACAATCTGTCATTCAACCATAGAAATTGCTGTGCAAACTTTCATTCCATGCATTTGTTGCCTCATCTCAAATAAAGTGGGCCATATGAACGCGAAGGCTCTTGATGCGCGATCAAAGCTACTAAGAACAAAAAACCTCGTGCGGATGGAAACGACGCAATGATGGGTCGACCGGTGGAGTCCTGTCGTTGTGGAAGTCTTCGACTATCGACCAGACCGCGCGGTTCAATTGTTTCCTCGACGGATTGAGTATTCGATACCCATACCTGTTGTGTGGTTCACAATCCTTTCCTCGAATAACACACAACACAGATAACAGACGGATAAAATAACACGGAACAGACATATGGCGTGTCCAAATGCAAGTAGTAGTGGCGCTGACTACGCTGATGAACGAGAAACACTAGTCGGGCACTCACAGTCGACGTGCACAATTTCATAGAGTTGAGGTAGGCCCGAACACTACAGAAGGTCACGCAAGTCGTCTAGCTCCAGGAGTGCGATCGCATCACAGATCGCACTCCACTAGCACTAGTAGCCCTCTCCCAGCTGCAAAAAGTAAGAACACAGACGATGAGCAACGAACGTGTAATTCATATGCCCTGAATAAAATCAAATTTACAGTGTCAGGTCGTCTGCGTATGTGCTGTTCTGGTCTTTGGACATAAGGACATAGGGAAAAAATGAGAAAATTTACATGACTGGCCACAGCGATCGCTAACCGAGGATGAACGATGAAGATCAAGATGACGCCAAAAGAGATTTTAAGTATAAAAAGATGAAAAGTGCTCGAAAATTAGGCAGTATTAGGTAAAAGTGGTCCTTGTTTGCCTAACAATACCTCTATTATAAAATCGTTGCACCAGCTAATATCTGGCCAATTGAAGTTTTCCGGTCAAATTTTCGCCTGATCTGCTATCCTCAGTAGATTTTCCATGCTCTCACAATTTTTCTGTTGTCGAGGTTCCCGCTAAATGCTCTTGCTTCTGTCTATCACAGTTACTTCAACGGACTAGAACAGCTGCCTTAGATTATACTGATAACATCACTTTACTCGACAAATGAGTTCGAATAATGCAAAACGTGATAAACTCAATGGTTGCCGAAATCTCTCTGTACTACATGTGTTTTATTCCACCGCGGTTCGAAATACTTGTAAAAAAATCGATAAGAGATCTGCTCTTGCAATCAATCAATCATGATAAATGAACCGGTGGACCGGTTACTTCGCTTCGTGAACAATCTCACGATCGGTGGCGATTGTGAAGAAATCCTGTTCTGTCACATCGTGAAGAGCACTCACAGGCGTCTGCAGTTCTGCCGCACAATCCATTCGTATCTTAACTTTGTGGTCCCTTGTTCCAGATATGTGAAATCTCAGTCCTTCGCGTCGACGATGCTCGATTACTTTCTGGATTCGTGCGTCGCTTGTTTATGCTTGCACCATGAAAACACTGACAGCACTCGACCTGCGGTATCTATAGTTGAGATATTGCACGTGCCTGTGCATTTTCTGCCTTGTTAGCTGTTTTTGACTGTCCCACATGGTTTGACCAATCATCTTGATGGTTTATGGTATTGCCTCTTGCACTGTTGGCCAACGAATCTGGTGGAGCAGCCGGACGAGCTGAGGTTAGTCGCAGAGTTTTAGGTAATCGCGGTCGCACAATGGAGCAAGTGGTCGACTTCCATAGATTACGTTGTTTGGGTCATGTGTTACTCATGTCACCAAACAGGTTGCCACGGCGAGCGATGTTCGCCGAGGCAGGTAGAGAATGGAAAAAAACCAAGGGTGGTCAAGCTAAGACCTGGCAAGAGTGTATGAAAACCTTAACTAGGAGTCTGGGTCACGTTAGGTCGCGTTAGGCTCCCCGGCTGGGGATCTCGGGATGATCGTAACTGATGATTTCTGACACTGATCGATATGGCTGGGTGTCGTAAACAGTGGCGTTCATGCATCTCCTCAATTTATTTGCAACATTAGTCCACTGAAACTCTCAATTTTCTCTTCAGCTCTACTTTCAACCTTCCTGTCTTTGTCCTACTGTTCATCCAAATGGGTAGTCAAAACCGGCGCACGAAAGTGCATGGTTAATAGTTCTTCGAACTGAACTGTCAGCCACAGGTTGATCGCAGTATTCGTCTAAGTGGACCTTTTTCGATCGTCTAGTTTTGGTTCGATGCATCCGAAATGTGCTTGGAGAGATGAGACTCGAACTGAGAAACGTGAATGCCTAGAAATTTCGCCTATCGTTATTTGCAAGCCTGATAAAGAACAAAAATGCAAAACAGATATTTCCAAGTGCGCGTATGGAATAATAAGCAGAAACACCATTTCCCATTTCCATTTATTATGCTGAGAAACTTTTCCCTCTTCGTTCACCTCTGTTCTTCATTTTTACGGTGTCAACCAACTTATTTTTATTAGGCTGTAGATTACGGTACGTACACTGTGTGGCTTGATATTGATACTACGTTTCCAAAAAAAAAAAAATTGAAATGCCAGCCGAACACAACCGAAGGATGTAAGCCATAACTTGAATGTTCTGTTTCGTTGTGAAAAGAGTGTTTGCAGCAATCTTGCGAACGGTGTTTCCGCGGATTCATCTCTCTTGGTCACATGGTTGTTCAAACGTGGCTTCCTGGCCCTATGTGATTTCATGTCATTTCCCATCAGATATTGATACAATCACACCGATATTACATTTCTGTGTACTGCTAAAGCCAATTGTTTTGGGATCTGTTTGTGTAACTTCCTCTCTCTGCTCTCTTCAGGTGGAGAAAAAGTTGTTGGATCTTATCAATCAGAAAGATTATGATGTTTCACGATTGTTCATCACCGAACGCCCGCGACGTCGTCGATCCTTGAATGCATCAGTAACAACAAACGGGACGTCGACCGGGGCAGGTGCTGCTAATAACCAATCAGGCAGTTTGACCACTCTGAACTCAAGCTCATCAACCCCGTCGGCCAACCCATCCGGTCACTGTCACAGTCCCAGCCTGCCCGGTCAATTAGGAGGTACGCTGAACTCAAGTTCCGAACAGGTGAACTCAGTCGGCACACGTTCTCAAACCCCATCCGGTGGAGGACAACCAGGTTCTGTATGCCCGGAAGAAAACGCCACTGGACTGTATTTGAGCTTGCGGGCGGCCTATCGAGATGCACGAGTTGCTCAAGAGAAAGCTTATCTTGAGGTACACATCCTCACGTATTCCTAGATTATTCAACTCTGATAAATGCATTATTTCATACATCAGCCTCGGATTTGCCTTCTTGTTCCTTCGTTGGTTAGAATAAGCCAATTCAGTGGCTGCATGGAACATCCGAGTTTCTGCGAACAGGTATCGTTCGTTTTAACTCGTGATTTATTCGGTCAACTGTCAACGTCCTAACTATGGATTCAATGAATCCTAACGGTCATTCCTAGGAAGCGCATTCGATATCAGCGGATCTTCCAACGGAATCTGCGGGGTTTTCATACGATATCAGCTTTGTTCATTCTTTTAAAATGTGGCGTGCCTGGGTGTAAGGTTCCTACGGTATGGTTTGCAATGTGCCAAATCTGGATTATTTGAATGATCTAAATTCTCTTGATCCGCTGTAACCGATGAATGTATTCTTATAATAGCGTGTATTGATCTGGGTTATTTGTCATTCTATCATGACATTTGTCACTCCAACGGCTGCTTTTCAAACTCGTTCGGGCCCCGTTGTGCAATAATCAGTGTTTAGCAAACAATGTTTCTGTTCTTCATTTCCGCATGCTGTGGACAAATTCCGTTGCACCAAGTCAAACATATGAATGAAACATTGGATAACTGTGATCCGTTGCTATACAATGATTTCAACAGCCTATATTAATCTACTGCACTTTAGGTTCGAATCCTCCTAGTATCAGCTCATGTCTCCCCGTATTCTGTTATTGTTTATCTCCGCTATGTATGTCGTTTTCATGACTTTATTCGATGATGTGGCTTGTGTTGAAAATGACTCTAGCTAGCACCGTCGCCAGTGTCACATCGCCATCTCGTTGATTGGTCGTTCTGCTCAGCACATTGTTCGTGATCGTTCTCGGTTAAACGCTGATGCAATACTGATCGTGTTGTTTCTTCTCAAACCCCGTTGTTCAGGGATTTGCGTCATACACACAAGAGATGCATCAGTGTCAAGTAATGCAGGTCAAACTATCTGAAATTCGACACGCCATCTCGCTCAATTCATCATCCCATCTGAACACTCCACCGCAAGCTGCATCCATAGCACCTATCTCCGGATCAGCTAATGCATTACGGTGTGGTGTTCCGGTGCTCCCACGAACCACCGGTACAGGCAGCAAATCCCGCTCCGAACCGCCCCAATTCCACTCTGCCGACTCCACACCCACGCGTTGTGTACGTAATGATGATTTAGCTTTATCCCCACCTCCTCCACCTCCAGCGCCACACACACGCTTGCTTACGGGGGGTTCGATTCGATCTGTGAACTCTTCCGGTCCGTACACGAACGGTGCAATGTCCCTCAGTTCAGGTTCAGGTTCCCTGGTGCATAATCCTCAATCACGCCGTGTGCTCCGCGTGCCGAATGTGGGAAAGCCGAAACTGTTCGGTGGCACCATAGACGAATATGTGGAAGCGACCAAACAAGAAATCCCCTGCATTCTCCTCTCCTGCACCCGAGTAATTGTACAGTTCGGTGAGTTTGCATTGCCTGGAAGTTCGTTGAATTGTTCTGTTTCGCTCAAAGTCTATGCAACCAATAATCACACTTTGTCGTACGCTGATTCTGGTCACTGTATCCCGGGTACCCATTTAGTTGTCCACTGGGTAAGGAGGAAGTGAAACTCGATCTATGCATAAGTGAATACGTGCGCGAACATCATTGTTTGTAACAGTCAATCAGCCATAGGACGCAGTCACTCTGAGCAGTGATTAGGTTTTCCATTAGCCCCCTCCCAGTCAGGAATTCCAATGTGGCCGCTTGAACCGACTACCCTGGTGTGGGTTTCTGTTGTGTTTACTGCAAGGCATGGCCTACATCACATGTTGGGGTAGTTTATTTGATGCAGTGCGTAACTTTTGCGATTTATTTGTGTTGTCAAATGGTAAAGGTCACCAAATTATCACCCCGGAGGACGTGTTCGAATCACACCACCACCACCACCACCGCCTGAATTTTCCCATTCTCAACGTGTGGTATGATAGCCCTTTGACTGGTCGCTTCTCCCTTCCTGGAAATTGTATGATTGTACACCAATAAAAGGAAGTAAAATTAAATAGATAGAAATAAAACGGTTACAGTACGTAATTGGGAGGGAGGTTAGTTTCATCAAACTATTAGTTGAGGTTTATAACTGACATTCTAACCCTTTTGTGTTTGGAATGCACCACTCGTTGAACTTGACACTGCGTCTTTCCTATCAAAGAGCTTGATGGGGTTCACCACTGGAGAGTCCGTGTGATTGAATTTGAGGTTACCATGAGTAAGTGGTCAGTTCTTTCGATTATGGACTTATCCCTTGTGATGTTTATCAAATGTTGATAAAAACATTCTATCAGCGATAACTGAACTCTTCAGGCTGGTTTCAATTTTGCATGTGTTTAGAGCCCTGCCGCTCAGCTGTGACTTTTTGCGAAAGCCGTCAGTCTCTATTTTTTTTGGTTGCTATGTCTGTGCTACCTGACTGTTATCTGCTTTGCACGGGACATCTCACTATAAACATCACCAACCTGCAAATTGTCCTTGTGATATTTTCGAAATTGGTTGTTTCATCTTTACCTTGGAACTTCTTTGGTATTTTCACTTTTGATTATCCTTGGAACCACTCTTATTTATTTCATTCTTAGCTCCCTTACATCAATTCGTGAGTCCGGTATACAGTTGTTTTTTACTACTTATTTCTCATCTTTAATGGTTGCTATGGGGAAGTAAGAGACAGCCAAGTTATACAGAATCACACGGATAGGTTTAGCAGATTAGGTGTCCTTCCTATACCCATTTCGAGGTCTAACAGATGCAGTTACCATTCGATTAGAGATAATGTGGCAGATAACGGAACTGACGGCTTTCCCATTTCTGTCAGTTCTGAGTGCCTCGAACTGCACTGCACAAGCCTGGTGGAGGAACCGGACAAGTAATACCGAATTGTAGTCAATCGTGGTCGAGCATTTGAGTAAGTGCTCGACCTGCATAGATTAGGAAGACTAGGGCATGTGCTGCGCATAGATTTCCACGTTATCCGATGTTTGCCGAAAATACCAATGATTAACAGAAAACCGAAGGTGATGAAACTAACACCTGGCATGATCAGTAGACTGGGACATGGATGGGTACCTCAGGATCAGTGTAATTAATAGTCAGGGATCACGAGTGACGTGGCTGACTGTCGTAAATAATGGTGCTCGTGGATCTCTTCAATTTCTCCGCTACCTTAATCTATCTGAAGTCTCTGTCTTCACCTTGATACCGCTTTCATCATTCTTAGTCTCCCTCTACTCCTTGACCCAAATGGGTAGACAAAAGATAGCAAAGAAAATGCTTGGTTATAATACCTGAAATGTGTAAACGTAGGGTGTTACTTTTATTGGTGTGCTGGCTGATCATCTTTCCTTGCGCTCACACTTATCTGTTTCAGTCCGGGGGGGGGGGGGGGGGGGGNAGCGGTCTCCGTCTGCCCCCATCCCCCTCGTAAACGCATGCGTTTCACTTAGCATATACGTATTTTCCGATCACGTACCGCTCAAAAGCTGTTTGTCTGAACCTATCTTTTCCCCGACCACTTCCGACGATGGCAGGTATGCATCAGCAAGGCATTTTCCGTGTCTCAGGTAGTCAAACCGAGATCATTGAGTTCAAAGCCGCGTTTGAGCGCGGTGAAGATCCCCTAGTCGATGTACACGAGGCGCGAGATATCAATTCGACTGCCGGCTTGTTCAAATTATACTTCCGAGAACTGGGTGAACCACCATTCCCGAACACTCTGTTCCTCAGCCTGATTGAGTGTGCTCGCGATAGTAAGTCTGTTTGCAACTTATTCAGTATTTATTTTTGATGTTTGAAAACTTGTGGCGATTCGGAGAATGTGCCCCGCATTGTTTCGTTTATTCTTTGCTCGTATTTCAGCTTATAATCCGAATTTTACAACCTTTTCTCTCTCGGTATCCTAACTATCCACGTGTTTTACGAGTACTATTCAAACCATCTGTTTATTACGACAAGTCGCTTCTCGGTTATTCCTTTACAGGATCGGATGTGGACGATATGGCTCCTCNGTTATCCAGGGTCTGAGCCGACCCGTGTTTATTGTGATGCGGTTCCTGTTCGCTTTTCTTAGTCAGTAAGTTTTTTTCTATCTGTCACCATTGCTTCGTTCTGGCCGCCAACCGCGTGAACTAGTAATCGATCATTGCTAGTGTTCTCTCTAACACATTCACTGGTACCATCTACTGTCAGGTGTGGTCTGTTGCTCTGATCGGGTGAATTGGTCTTGCATGGTTTCCCCTGGCTCAGTTTGATAGATGACTAGGGACACTGAGTGATGTGGCTAAATGTCATAAATGGTGATGCTCGCGAATCTCTTCATTGCTGTCTTAATCTGCATGAAGTCTCTATCTTCACCTTGATACCACCTTCAACATTCTAAGTTTTCCCTCTACTCATTCATCCAAATGGGTAACCAAAAGACAATAACGAAAACCATTTCAATCATCAAGCGTGATCTGTTATCCAGTTACTATTGCGTGACCAAATAATTTGAAATTACATCAGCATTGAGTAGAGTAGATTGGTGAACGGAGAATGCATTTTTCACTAAATGCTTGTTATTTATATTATATTTCATATCCGTCTGAGGCCACACTGTGTGCCAACCAAATCACGCTCCGATAATCTTTATAAAAATAAAAACGTTCTACGATGTGCATGTGGGCTGAATACTGCCAGGTTGCCCAAGCCAAGGTAGATGACTTTTCGTGTGGAACCCACAACCGGAGCCTTCGGTTAGCCAAAGCCTGACACGCAAGATAGCGGGGCGCTGTGTGAAAACCGCAACCCATTGGGATCCGGTATCCAGTTCATCGGATCATACGCCTTTCGGACGGAGTCAAACGTCCAAGGCGCCCAATACACCTCGATGTCCAATTGAACGGGTGACCATTGCCACAACCGAAAATGTGTGTGTGGTTCGTTCGCCTCCTCTTGGTCGGTTTAGAATTAGGGTTTTTGACCAACTCCCCTAGGTGAACCACCAATGGTCCACCAACCCAGTTTTAGCCCCGGATATCGGATTTTAGTCCTCTGCCTTTGGTGGGAAAACACCTCCGCCACGAGAAGTTAGTGAGTATGGTTTCCTCAGCAGAGGGTATTTGAGACGGTTGGTTGTATGAGATCATTTCACAAGGTGCAAGCGAAGGGCAACCAGCCGCAACCCTAGACACCCACTCCCAACGCTACTGAGGATTTCGGAGGCTACTAAATGCTTGAATCACGGCTGTATCAAAGTGCTACCTATTTTCTCCAATCATGTGGTGCAAGCACAAGAATAAAGGGTCCCGCTACCCGCAGAAACCCAACAAAAGGGAGATTTTAGCAGATTTAGCTTTTGTTGACACGGATTTCTGACGTTTGGTGGTGCTTTGCAACAGTATCTTATCAATCCTTGTCCATAGTCAGAAAACTAATGGTATGCCAAAAAAACTTGTTTTCCTGATTTCGTCTTCAGGCACTTACATGCCTGCTTATAAACAAAATCCTCAATCACACGGTGATCGTGCGTGAGAAGAAAGTGTTACTTCCTGTTCGCATTACTGTCTCTGTTTATCCGTATTGTCATTTGTGGCGAAAGGTATGTTTACACACATTCCGTGGTCGTACCTTGCTCAGTCTTTTGTTGCCACTACTGCTACGAGTTTCCATGACATTGTGTTGTTTTTGTTTACTGATGCGATTGTTTTTCCGAACTTGTGGTAGCACTCCAGCTACACTCTCCCTCTCGCCTCGGTTCGGCAAGACTAACTGCCTTGTTAAGTCCAGAGGCATGCGCCCGCGTGCACGTGTGAAGCCTGCTGCACTGAGGAACACTATCTCTGAACTTTTTCTCAATAGCTTTTCTTCCGAAACGTGTTTGTTTCGTCTCCCAAGACGCTCTGGTTGTTTTGTTATGATCACTCGCCTAATAAGGTGACA